GAGACAAGACGGGCACAATGGCCAACAAGAAGGGAGACAAAAGGAAACAGAAGGGAGACAAGACGGACACAATGACAAACAAGAAGGAATAAGGAAACAGAAGGAAGACAGAATTGAGACAAGGCGGACACAATGACCAACAAGAAGGGAGACAAGAAGGCCAGCAAGAAGCGAGACAAGACCGGAGACGAAGTGAGACAGAAGGGAGAAAAGGCGGACACAATGACCAACAAGAAGGGAAACAAGAAGAGATACAAAAGGAAACAGAAGGGAGACAAAGCGGACACAGTGACCAACAAGAAGGGAGACAAGAACAAAACAAGAAGGGAGACAAAAGGAAATAGAAGGGAGACAAGGCCGACACAGTGACCCACAAGAACAACAAGAATGGAGACAAGACCGGAGACAAAGGGAGACAAGAAGGCAGACAAGGCGGAGACCATGACCAACAAGAAGGGAGACAAGAAGGAAGACAAGGTGGACACAGTTACAAACAAGACAGACACAATGACCAACAAGAAGGGAAACGAGAAGGGCGACAAAAGGAAACAGAACGGAGACAAGGCGGACACAGTGACCAACAAGAAGGGAGACAAGACCGGAGACAAAGGGAAACAGAAGGGAGAAATGCTGCATGGCCAACGGAAAAGGGCGGACACCAGCAGTGACAGACCTGGGAGACAAATGAATAGAAATGCTACATGGCCAACGGAAAAGGGCGGACGCAGACAAATGAATAGAAATGCTACAGCAGGGACTACATGGCCACCGGAAAAGGGCAGACCACCAGTGACAGACCTGGGAGACAAATGAATAGAAATGTTGCATCGCCAGCGGAAAAGGGCGGACACCAGCAGTGACATACCTGGGAGACACATGAACAGAAATGCTCAGACTTGGGAGACACATGAATAGAAATGCTACATGGCCAGCGGAAAAGGGCGGACACCAACAGTGACAGACCTGGGAGACAAATGACTAGAAATGCTACATGGCCAAAGGAAAAGGGCGGACACCAACAGTGACAGACCTGGGAGACAAATGAATAGAAATGCTACATGGCCAGCGGAAAAGAGCGGACACCAGCAGTGACAGACCTGGGAGACAAATGAATAGAAATGCTACATGGCCAGCGGAAAAGAGCGGACACCAGCAGTGACACAAAGGGCGGACACATCTTAAGAAGGAATTGAGAACCCCTAACAGTAAACTGTTTGGGGAAAAATGAGTGTCTGCAGCCCATCGCCCAAAGCATCCCAAATCCACTTCACCAGGACCAGGTTCCACCAAATTATCACCTGCAGTCCTGCACTCCAGTTGGCACGCGTATAGTCACATCTTCTGTCTTGCTCACAGGTGCAAAGGCCACTCCTCGGGGTCAATTGCAGTTCCATTCACTCGAAAGAGCTGAATTAATACACGCAAACCTGACTCCTATCTGGTGGGAAGTTGGCCAACCTTATTGGGCCTTTTAGATTTTGAAGCAGACGGTGTTAATGTAAGCGGCAGGCTTAGGGCGTTTGAAAACAGTATTGCTTGGCAGAGGGTCACGGTCACGGCTCCGCAACCAAAAATGGGCATCCTGCCACCCATTCATACACCTATATCGCTGTGCGCTAACATAAATTAATATGTAGATACAGTATGTAGTTTTACATATATATATATATATATAATGCTATATCTAATATATACATGCGTGTGTGTGTGTGCGCACGTGCATTTCCAATGAGAAAGCGAGAGAGAGGTGCCTCTTGGCAATTATATGCAAATATGCTAGCACCTTGTATCCCCAACGAAGGCTCTTCAATAGTGGCTATAACGTCTCTGCATGCAACGAGCTCCACTCTCCGTTGCCAGCTTTGATCTTACATTCTGGCTGCGCCTGAATGTTGGTCACAGGGAAATAGAACCGTCGCGTTCCTGAAGTAGCCTTTGGGGCAAACGCCTGACGCCTCAGCCAAGACAGGTCTAGTCAGGGCTGCAAAAACAGATTTGTCGGTGGCAAGATCTCTGAACACTGGGTGCTTCACGATTGGCGCCCTCGCGGAGGCTGAAGCCAAACAAAAGGCCAGGAGGCCAATGAGCATCCATTGCCCCATTCCGCATTCTAAAGGTCTGCTCAGGCCAGTCGGTCATGTGATGTCATGTGTGTGTATGCCAGAATCCGGCGTTCAACCTTTCATTGTCAAGAGTTTTGGACTAACGAACGTGATGCAGGCCCTTCAGCGCAATTGCAAAAACCTGCAAGGCATGGTGAGCCAGGAAAAGGTGCCTGTTCTAGTGTACCGTTGCTGTCTCCAGGTTTGCCATCGCAATAACCACAAGGGAACATGGGAACTCCGCAATGGCTGTCGTAGTTCGATATGAATCCAAATCCAAAAGGATTGAACGTCTGAAGCCAAAGGGAGCACCAGAAATTGCAAAGTATTCGATTGACTGATCAAATTAAGACCTATATAGTCTCCACAACACATTGAACATCCAGTGCGCAAGGCCGCATCACCAATATGCGAGTCCCTTTCTCATGTGGCTGCGAGCACCAGTCTTCACGACTCAACTCAAGCGTCTCACAGTGTAGTCTGCTGATTGTGCAGGCTGTTGAGTTTGGCTTTCCGGCTCAAAGTTCTTGGAGTTTCTCAGCTCGATTAGCTCCTCGACAGTCAGAGCTCCACAAGAAACCTGGCCTTTTGACAGATTGATTGTCAATGCTTTTCTGAACGGATTTGCTCCTATACTGGGCCAACAAATGACTTATGAATCGTATGAAGACTTGAGTTTGAAAAGTACCGGTCTCCCCCATTCTCCCAGCTTCTCCTCAGTGATACTTGGCCTTGGCACCAGTGTCAGAATGGGCTGAGGGCGTCGCCAAGTGAAATCAATCGAATCACAGGCACACAAGGCACTACACAAGGCCTACCACACAAAGGAAAAAGCAAAGGTTCAAAGGACAGTACATCTCTTGGAGGGCATGATTTGCATCATGTTGGGAGGCGATCTTGGACAAGCAATCCTGAAAACAGTCGCTCTTCGCCAGTCTTTATCCACTCGAACTGATCAAATCTTCATGCGGCAGAAGGACGAGTTGCACTCCAAGAGCTCTACATTCATGCTCAGTGCCATGATCAAATTCAACAAAAAGGCAGCACATGGCAGTGCTGCTGCTACGACTGCAGTGTTCCGAGCATGGCACCGAGGTCTTCTTTTTTTCTGCCTCGGGACTTCTACATCTGGGGACGGAGTGGTAGGTGTGCTCTTATTTCCTGGTGGCATTGCCTCCGTTCACCGTTCTAATCAGCTCATTCTCTACCAGGGACACACGGGATCCCCGGCAACTATGAAATCTATGAATCAATAATCACAAGTTCTTTAGCTCTATTTTCACCTTACTCAAGACCAACATGCCTGTCCTGTCAACCATCATGAACACTTCCATGTGCCATCCCATCCTTTTCAATACCTTTCCGTCTTTCATCTCTCTCTCTCTCTCCTTCCATTGCATATCCAATGGTCCCAATCGGCAAAGGGAGGTGACAATGTCGGTTCCCCTTGCCTCCCTCCCTCCTCCCTTCCTCGCTCTTGCTCTCGCTCTCGCTCTCTCTCTCTCTCTCTCGCTCACGTGGCTCACGCGACAAATACCTAAAGGCGGGAAAGGACGCTTGCAAAAAATGCGCACCCCTTCATCAAGGAGCGTCAGTTCACAGTGCATGTTGTGCGACTTTCCCAAATCAAGCAATGCCTTTTGACCACTTGACATGTACTCCTGTATCTTGCCCCATCCCTCTTTTCAGGTGGCGCCTGCCCTCGTCAAGCCTAGCAGCCTAAAGATACCAGGACAGTATGACTGATGCAAACACATGCAAAAACTGTTTCAACCTCGCTCCAGCAGAACGCCAGGGCTATCTCTCGGTTCCCCGGAGCTATTGTCAAAGGTCACCATATGTGTGTAGCGCCTAGTAGCATCTTTGCTCCTAGTAGTAAGGCTAGGAACCCCTGGTAGCGTTCTTGTTCGTAGTAGCGATGCAAGGAGCCCCAACTAGTTTCTTGTCTCTCGGTTCCCCGGAGCTGTTGTCAAAGGTCACCATATGTGTGTAGCCCCTAGTAGCATCCTTGCTCCTAGTAGTAAGGCTAGGAGCCCCTAGTAGCGTTCTTGTTCCTAGTAGCGATGCCAGGAGCCCCTACTAGTTTCTTGTCCCTTTTATTCTTGATTACCTCTGGGATTGATGACGACTGATGTGTTGCAATTGTTGATGTGCAAACTACGAGCTTTGTTCCAACCCCTCTCCTCTTCTGAGAGCAAATTTTGGGAAGTTACAGTACACAGAAACTTCGAACAGATTGAGGCTCGGATGGTCCAACCCAGCTCATATTTCCAGAAAGTCAACTAATGCTGGTGCACTAGCCAGTACACTATTGGGGAATAAAGAATCAACTGCTGCAGCCAAAAGTTCCTCAACAGAGAGTCTGAGCAGGAAGGGCGTGCAAAGTCCAGCATTCATGATTTTTCCCGAATGCGTAGCGAAGGGTTCTCGTTTAACTTGGGACTTGGGAGTAGAGCTGTGCTTGCCCGACGTTGTTTTCGAGTTCGCAGCCGTCCGCAACCGTTTGCAACCGTCCGCAACCCTTTGCAACCGTCCGTATGATGTCTCTATGGCCCTGCCATTGGGGGGGCTTTTGCAAGTGACTTTTCATGGATGTGTCACGTGTCAGTTTGCGCCGCTATTACATTGTGATTTGCATGAAAGTGACATGTCGCGCAGGAAACGTGATGCATTTCGCTGCACAGGCGCAGGGTTTCGTGAAAGTGACACGTTTGTGTCGGTATTCCATTGGGATTAGCATTTGGAGAGTCGTGTTTTTTGGGTGTTGGATGTGGCCGTGCCATTGGGGTTTGCGCTCCAGGGTGTGGCATCGAAGCGCTGTTTTCGTGACAAGTCTCAGCTGAAATGGTGATTTTGGTGGATGGGAGTGTGCTCAGAACGGGCCGAAATAATTCCAAACGTGTGGTGTGGTGCAAGTTTTGTTGAAGCTCACATGAGATGACATTGTCACTTTTCGTGGCAGGCGCAGTACTTTGCGCGGGTTTTGAGGTGTGGAAGTGCGATTTTCGTGGCAGGCGCAGGGAATCGTGAGGTTGCGATGTGTGATGGAGGTGACATTTCATGGCAGGCGCAGGACTTTGTGCGCGTTAGACGTGTGGACGTGGAAGGATTCGTGGCGGGCGCAGGGAATCGTGAGGTTGTGAGTTGTGGTAGAGTATAGAGGTGAATGTCGCTGTGACATTGGGATTGGCGTGTGAGCGGGTGTTGTTTGGAGGGGCTGGAATCGCGAAACTGCTTGGCAGCGCGCCTGACTTTGGGAGGAAGTCTCGTACGAAACGCTCGTTTTGCAGACTTTGACATGTGAGTTTTTGAGGCAGTCTCGTACGAAACGTTCGTTTTGGAGCCATGACGTGTGACTTTGGGAGGAAGTCTCGTACGAAACGCTCGTTTTGGAGACTTGACGTGTGACTTTTGGAGGACGTCTCGTACGAAACGCTCGTTTTGAAGACTTGACGTGTGACTTTTGGAGGAAGCCTCGTACGAAACGCTTTGTTTTGGAGACTTGACGCGTGACTTTTGGAGGAAGTCTCGAAACGCTCATTTTGGAGCCATGACGTGTGACTTTTGCCCAGCAAACGTGTCAAGCAAGAGTGTCTAGCAAAGAGTGTCAAGAAAGAGTGTCAAGCAAGAGTGTCCAGCAAGAATGTCTAGCAAAGAGTGTCCAGCAAAAGTGTCCCGCAAAGAGTGTCAGGCAAGAGTGTCAAGAAAGAGTGTCAAGAAAGATTGTCTAGCAAAGAGTGTCAAGAGAGAGTGTCAAGCAAGAGTGTCCA